AGTATCCACTATCAGCAAAGAAGGGTCAGTGTCCATCTGTATCAGTTCCATATGGAAAAATTCCCTGCACCGCCCAGGATGTAGTCCATCATCTCCCACACAGTCTCCTACACTAGAAAAAAAGATAAACAATGTGTAAGAGATTATGGACATTCTACATGCTTCATGTTGATATTAAAATAGCATAAGGTTTTCATTCTCTCTTCTTGTCCCAGGTGTCTGTCATGAGCCTTCCCAACTGACTTTGATGGAAAATATTTCAGAGGTGACAGAATTTATTCTTGTGGGGTTAACAGACGCCACTGAACTGCAAGTCCCTTTATTTATAGTCTTCACTCTCATTTATTTGATCACAATGGCTGGGAACTTCGGGATGATTGTGTTGATTCTGCTGGATTCTCGACTCCACACTCCCATGTACTTTTTCCTCAGTCACCTCTCCCTGGTGGATAGTGTCTACGCCTCAGCTGTCACTCCCAAGGTAATGGAAGGGTTTCTCACAGGAGATAAGATCATATCCTACAATGCCTGCGCTGCCCAGCTCTTCTTTTTTACTGCCTTTGTAGCTATTGAAAGTTTCCTCCTGGCCTCAATGGCCTTTGACCGGCATGCCGCAGTGTGTAAACCCCTGCATTATACCACAACCATGACAAGCACTACATGTGTCCTCATGGTCACCTGCTGCTATATGTGTGGAATCTTGCCATCCTCTGTCCATGTAGCCCTCACATTCCATCTGTCCTTCTGTCATTCCAATGTGATCAATCACTTTTTCTGTGACATTCCCGCACTGATGGCTATTTCTTGCTCTGATACCTACACAAATGAGATTATACTCTTTATCTTTGCTACACTGGATGTTGCTTTTACTCTCTTGGTTATCTTGAACTCTTACTTGCTTATTTTCATTGCTATCCTGAGGATGCGTTCAGCTGAGGCACAGAGGAAGGCTTTCTCCACCTGCACATCCCACCTCATTACCGTCTCCATCTTCTTTGGGTCACTCATCTTCATGTACCTACAGCCCAATTCTAGTCACTCCATGGACACTGACAAAATTTCATCAGTGTTCTACACCATGGTCATCCCCATGCTGAACCCTCTCGTCTATAGTCTGAGAAACAAAGAGGTAAAAAATGCATTTAAGAAGGTTATTGGAAAAGGAAGTCTTCACTGGCATTAGGTATTAATTTTATTTTTTCAAGCATATGAAACTTTCCCTGGACTTCCACCTTCTAAGAATGAGTTAGTTGTAATTATTTCTAGTCTTTAATTTATTTTGATATTTCTTTAGTATGGAAGACCTCTGTCTTCATGTACTGACAACATGACTAGTTTATAGTAGATTTGGGGTTTATTTTACCATAAATAAGATATCAATTCAATGCTTTAATCAATTTTGTAATGCTAGCTATATTCACATGCAATCTTCCTTCATTAGGAAGATTCAAACTGCTTTGCAGATAAACCACATATTAATAAGAACACAGTTATTTTTTGAAATCTTAGATTTCAGAAATATTCCATGATATTAGTACATTGAATAAAACTGGTATCCTCAGACATTAATGCTCTGAAACATCATCTTCAGAGGTTTTCAGAATGTAGAATCCCAGCTATCATCCAAAATAACATTGTTACATGCTTTTGGTGAAACAAATTCATATAATAATTATTTGTCTCTATCATCTTCAGTCTTGAGATTCCAACGTTGCATTTCAATAATCAGGGAAAGCATATTATCTAAATCTACTTAACACTGAATTCCAGAGATCAAATGAGACTCCAGCCAACTAATGCTTATTCAAAAGAAAAAGATTAAGTTATTGAAGTACATAACCTTATATAATTCTAATTAGTATCACATGAATCCTATGAACATTTAAGTAGAATTTTTCTACTTAAATACTTCCTAAATGATAAACTATTAAGTTAACAAGTAAAAAAATTGCTTCATGTTAATTAGTAGAGATGAAAAACATTACCACTAAAATCCACCTGATGACTTTATATCCATGCTCAGGTACCAGTAACCAACTGTGACTAGTAATAATCAGATACATCTAAGTATAGTAGCATTAAAAATGAGTTTTTCTGTATGAAAGTTTATTTTAAAATGAAATGGAGATCTTTTTTAAAGGTTAAAACCTTATTCAATTTTATGTCTTATAGGGTTTATACTGAGTTCAATATTGTGTAACTGTAGTTCAACTGTGAACCTAAAAATTTACAGCCAATTTTGAAAGAGATGCATCTTTGCTCTGGAAATTGTTATTGAATATGTTAATGCTGTAATGAAATGCTTCTTCTAACCACATGGTTATTAAATAAATAATCAAAAATCAAAAAATTCTTATTCTTATTCCTCAAACTGTTAAAAAAAGAGCAAAAGTTATTGCTCAAAGCAAAAATAATTCTCATTCAATAATACAAGTTTCCCTTACATGAGTTCTCAGTACTAGTTTAACCACTTGTAACAGCTATTCCCATCAAATGTACTTTGGAAGGCTTTTAATAAAAATGCTAATAAATGTATAAAATGGAAAGTTTATGACTGGATTAATTCTGGGAATGAAAGCCAATGGAAGGATGAAACTGATCAAAAGTTCTCTTCATTACTAAGTGCTGCTCTGAGTTGTACCAGGACACTAAACTCAAGAACAGTAGTAACAGGATATTCTTTAAAGCAGGCTCCAAAGGGACAAAACAGTATTGCTGATCATTCAAAATGTTTGAGATTGGAAATCAAAAGTCCAGTAAAGCACATTTACATTAAATATGCCTGGAGCTGGTATCATGGCAATTTAACATTCCTCTAGAAGGCATCTTCACCTCTATCAATATATCAGCCTTGATTTTTATAGACTGTTAAATGCTTATTCCAGGAAGTAAATTTAAATTAAGGAATTTAATTAATTAGAAAATGTATGAGCAAATGGTAATAGAAATGAGTGAATGAGTGGATGAGTGAGAGCACAGCTGAGGTTGCTTGAATGAGTGTGCATCAACCTGGATCCCTAAAGGCAGGTCACAGAACTCAGGGGCTGCTTCTTCTATGAGCCTAGAGAATGGACATCTCTGAAATTACCCACAATATTCACTCTTCCTTTATACCACTGATGTGTAAGATGTGTATTTTTTAAATTAAATAAACACAAAGCTTATGTTTCAACATATATTACACCTAAAACCCTGAAGTCTTCTGGAGCAAATATTGGCAATTGATTCCTGCAAGGTGAGGGAGAATTGAACATCTTTATGGGAGTGTCTTAAAATAAGCTGACTACAAGGCTGTAGAGATGGCTAGGCAGTTAAAAGTACTGACTGATCTTGCAGAGAACCCGGGTTCAATTCCCAGCACCCACATGGCAGACTATGAACCATCCTTAACTACAGTTCCAGGGGAATCTGAAGCCCTCTTCTGACCTCTGCAGCATTGCACGACAGGGGTGCACTCACATACATGCAGGCAATACACTCATACACATAAAGTAAAAATAAAAAAATAAAATGTTTTAAAAAATAGGCTGACTAGACTCAAGGGAATGAACTTGCACCAAGGGACATCAGGATAAAGATGTCTGACCAGATAGAACTTAAAATATGTAAGAGAATTCATGAAATTTGGTGGGGGAGAGATGAGAGGATGTTTATGTGGGAGAGGGTCTAAATTTGATGAAGATCTATTACAGGAAATGCAGAAAAAGTCAATAAAAATTATATATTAAAAATTTTTAGGAAACAGGGCCTGTGGCAATGGCTCAGTGGTTAGGAGCACTGGCTGTTGCTTCAGAGAATCAGGGCTGGGTTACTAGCATACACATGGTGACTAACAGCCATCCATAACTCTAGTTCCAGGGGATACAATGACCTCTTCTGACCTCCATGGTATATATGATGACACAGGTGCACTTACACACTACATGCAGGCAATACACTCATACATACATACAAAAAAATAGTAAATACAATATTTTTAAAAATAAAAATTGTGGAAGAAGGGGCAGAAAGATTGTAAGAGCCAGGGAGGAGGTCCATGACCATATGGAAATAGAGTCTTATAAGCTCATGGGACCTTGCTCATATGAACCTCTAGCAATGGTGTCAGCATGCACAAGACCTATGCAAACTCAAGCAGACAAAAACCCAGCATAGAAATGGATAAATGGACAGCAGACCCCAATCTTAACTGAAGAAATATTGACAACTAATTACTGCTGTATAAGGAAGAGCCAATCTTCCTATAAATCAAGAGATTAAAGATAGGCTACCTAGACCTCAGTAGATGAACTTGCACTGAAGAACGTCTGGGGACACTAACTTGACACAATAGGACTTAACAAATGACAGAATGTGTGAATTCCAGAGCGGGGAGTAGGTACAGGATGCTAGTGGGGAAGGAGGGATAAAGATGATTAAGACTGATTGAGATGTTCTATATGAAATACACAAAAACTCAATAAAAAATTTAAAAGACAAAAATGTTAGAAAGCAAAAAATGATGAGATTTAATTAAGTCAACAAAGACAGTAAACATCAAGACGCCTGAAACTCATGTGGAAATCTCTACCAACAAAACACAGTAGAGGAATGTATCCCATCCTTTAGTTCATATTACCAGATGGACAGAAGCTATCCAGAGTGAATGTAAACTAATGTCCACCTAAGACAGTCCTGAGCCAGGCATAGTGCTGCATTCTGTCAAAGGAGATTTAATCCTCAGAGATGACACACCAGGTGTTCTTGGGCATTGAAAAACCAGATTACTATTTCCCAATGATTCGTTAAGAATTTCCACTAGAAAGAGGAATATCTTGAACATTTCAATAGCTACCTTATAATCATAACAAAATTGTTTCCTTAATTCTCCATCATTCAGAAATCTCTTTCAACTGTCTGACACAATAGCTAAAAACCAAAGATCCCTTAAAAATATGCACAATAGAAATATCTACTTCACAGTGTTGGTCTGACACTAAATAGGATAGTACATTTCAAACATTTAGTGTAATGATTGATGTACTGTAAGAAGATTAATGTAAAACATATTTATTTTACCTTTAGTAAAAGTAGTAAAAAACTGGCCCAGTCCTGGTCTTTACCCTTCCCCTACTCCAGGACTGCCATAGCTTTCCCTCTACTTCATTTTATTGAGTTTTTCATCATAAACCCACAGACAAATCCATGCTTGTCTACTTAAGGACAACTCCCTGGAGGGGGTGGAGGCATTTCTATGTGGTTTTATTAATGCAAACAGCTTAGTCATATTTAACAATGAAACCTGAGCTATAGAAGCACCTCATCTTCTCTGCGTGGGATTTCCAGGATGTGAGAATGAAAGCTTGCAGTGTTGGTCTCATGAACAGCACCAACTACAGACACAGAGAGTTCAGAAAAGCTCTTCCACTGCTCTTAGCATATAAAGATTATGCACCATTTGTGGTGGTTTTTTAAAATATATTATCTATTATTTTTATTTCATGTGTATGCGTGTATTGCCTGCGTGTAGGTAAGTGCACCCGTGTCATGCAATGCCCGTAGAGGACAGAATAGGCTGTCGGATCACCTGGAACTGGAGTTACAGACAGTTGTTAGCTGCCATGTGGATTCTGGGATTTGAACCTGGGTCTTCTGCAAGAACCCTCAGTGTTCTTAACCACAGAGCCATCTCTCCAGCCCCCTGTAACATTTGTTTTTAAACCACAGCTCTGGACTCAGAAACAGATGCACAGAAATCTTCATCCAGAGATCCATAATGGTGAGAGCTGAGCCTGGAATCTATTGACTGAGCTCTGTGGACTCTGGAATTGTTAAGCCCTTGGGAAGAAAGGAAAAAAAAGAAAAAAATATATATGTTCGAGGAGAACCAGGTTTTGGCTCATATGATTCTTATCCATGATGAAGTCAAAATTAAATTACTGATTCCCAAATGAAGTCAGTACAAAAAGACACTGCAGAGATCTTCAGGGGTGTTCCTCCCAAAAAAGGCACAAGGTACTAAGGCCTTGAGGACAGGGACTAACAGGAACACAGGGCAGCTTCAGGTCTCTGCTTCCTCTCCTGTGCACTCCTTTGTCACTCTAGTTGTCCCTAAAGAAATACCAGGTGCAGCTCAGACTCCACATTAGAGGTCTCAGGCACTGAACCTCAGTACATTAAGGAATAGATTTTGGTTCTTTGTGA